CCGATTGCGAGGTAGGAAAGACGTGTGCCGTTCTCACCCCCACAGGACGCGCACCAGTGCCAGACGCTAAAGCAGGTGTGGAAAAGGGAGGGAGTGGGGGACGTTACATAATCGCACTGGCTGTGAGAAAGCTTCTTGCAGCACAGGACATGAGCAGTTTAACGCCCACCTGTGTGTGTGCGTGTGTGTGTGTGTAACCAGCTCAGAGTCAGAGCTAACTCATCTGTGTGTGTGTCTGTGTGGGACTGCATGTATAGCTAGCTGTGGTAAAATCTATTATTTTTTTAGCTTGTATAGGGACATTTTTCAGGTCCCCATAATATAAACCTCAATCTTATAAAAAAAATATGTGAATGCAATCAAAAAACTACAACTGTCTAAAGTCTTGCATTTTGTTTGGTTACTTATGGTTAAGATTAGGGCTGAAATGAAGTAGAAATGAATGGAGAGTCCCCACAAATATATTGATGTCCTCTCTCTCTCTGTATTTGTAATTAGTACATTGTGGGGACCAGATTTTCCTACAATATGATAAAAACCTGTACCGTTTACCATTATACCACATTTCTTTTGATCCCCACAAGGATAACCTCAGTTTTATAAAAATCCATGAATGCAAAAACTAAAAATGCCAAAACACTTGTGTTTGGTTATTAATGGTTAAGGTTAGGGCTGAGTAGGGGTTAAGGATGTCATCGTTGGGATTAGGGTTAGGCCCATAGAAATGATTGGAGAGTTTCCATAAAGATATGAATGTGTGGACTATGTGTGTGTGTGTAGTCAGCCCAGAGTCAGAGCTAACCTGCAATACTTTGCCGTGACTCATTCAGAACAGACAAGCTGCTCTTCAGCTGCTCTTACTGCTCTAAGAGCACAATCCAGCCTTTCTCACATTCTCACATCAGGAGAGCAGTCAGGTTAGTGAGCTGACTGGTCTGCAAGATGGAAAATCAGATAGAGTTAGCGGCAGTAAGATCGGCCTGCTGTGACGAGCAGCCCAGAGGAGCCCCGCAGACGTCATTCTGGCACTTTGCGTCTTGTTAACCACACCCCCCCGGGGAACCCCTTTGTCAGGACTCCACACCACCTGAAAAACCTGCTCTGCTGCTTCTTAATTACCAATCCCTCCTCTGCTGCCAGAAGCTGCTGGAAGAACTGGTATTCTATTTTGGGCCACACCCCTTCCCAGCTGCAATCATGGTTTCCTGATTGCTCTGCTGTTTTTAGTGCATGTGGTAGAGTTGCTGAATTTCACATCTTCCCTCTTCCGTTCTGATTTTTCCTGTCTGGTTTTCTGATTTCATCTTTGCCCCAAGATGATGTGTTTTTGCCTTGCTTCTGACTGACTGTTGCACATCGCCTGCCAGCCATTCTGTGCCTTTTCTGCTGGTTTGATCTCTTATTGCAGTCTCTGTCTCTGACCTGGACTATCTGACTACAGTTTTGCCTGCATAATAAACCTGGTTCCCTGGAGCCGATCCACATCAGCATCCTCCTTACCGCCGCATTGTGAAGTCCAGCAGGGTTTGAAAAATCCAGATTCACTGTCCACCTCCTTTCCTGAAGGCTGGGGGATGATACTGATTTACCTTCCCCTATTACCATAAGACAGTTATGCTCGACTCCACATGCTTTCTGATCTCAGTGTGTGAGGATCAATTGATAGCCTGAATGAAGACGGATGAATCATGATGTTTCAGGTGCATCCATATAGTCAACCAAAGTTAATAACAATGGAGCCTTTATGCCTCAGACGGCTGCCATGGTAACAGCAGCATGGTAACAGGTTCCTGAGCAAAGTGATTGGCCAGTATGTAAGGTAAGAATGCAGTATGGTCAGAGCACACATACTGTGCCTGAACACAGACTCGCAGTGTCAGCACTCTGGATGAGACGCTGGTCCTTTATAGAGCACCCCACAGGGGGCTGCCTGAATGGGATGCTGGTCCTTCAAAGGGCACTAGGTAGGGGGCACCCTGGACAAAATACCAGTCCTGCATAGGGCACCAGGTACGGGATGCCCTGGATGGAATGGCAGCTCTACATAGGGCACCAGGTAGGGGACGTCCTGGATCAGATACCGGTTCATAACAGGACTCCAGGTAGGGGATGCCCTGGATGAGATACCGGTCCTTTATAGTGCACCGGGTAAAGGACATCCTGGACAGGATGCTAGTTCTGCAAAGGACACCAGGTAGGGGACAGCCTGGACAAGATGCCAATCCTTCATAGGGGGGACATCCTGGACAGAATGCCAGTCCTACATAGCACACCAGGAAGGGGACGCCCTGGATGGAATGCCAGTCTTACATAGGGCACCAGGTTGGGGACACTCTGGATGGAATGCCAGTCCCTCATAGGGCACCAGGTAGGGGACGCCCTGGATGGAATGCCAGTCCCTCATAGGTCACCAGGTAGGGGACGCTCTGGATGGAATGCCAGTCCTACATAGGGCACCAGGTAGGGGACACTCTGGATGGAATGCCAGTCCTACATAGGGCACCAGGTAGGGGACACTCTGGATGGAATGCCAGCCCTACATAGGGCACACATTCACACACATGATGATCA